CCATTCAGTTAGGCTAAATTTAGTCATCCACGTGTGGGACCAAGCACAGTCATCCACGTGTGGGACCAAGCACAGTCATCCACGTGTGGGACCAAGCACAGTCATCCACGTGTGGGACCAAGCACAGTCATCCACGTGTGGGACCAAGCACAGTCATCCACGTGAGGGACCAAGCACAGTCATCCACGTGTGGGACCAAGCACAGTCATCTACGTGTGGGACAAAGCACAGTCATCCACGTGTGGGATCAAGCACAGTCATCTACGTGTGGGACCAAGCACAGTCATCCACGTGAGGGACCAAGCACAGTCATCCACGTGTGGGACCAAGCACAGTCATCTACGTGTGGGACCAAGCACAGTCATCCACGTGTGGGATCAAGCACAGTCATCTACGTGTGGGACCAAGCACAGTCATCTACGTGTGGGACCAAGCACAGTCATCCACGTGTGGGATCAAGCACAGTCATCTACATGGTTGGACCAAGCACAGTCATCTACGTGTGGGACCAAGCAGTCAGTCATCCACGTGTGGGATCAAGCACAGTCATCCACGTGTGGGATCAAGCACAGTCATCCACATGTAGGACCAAGCACAGTCATCCACGTGTGGGACCAAGCACAGTCATCCACGTGTGGGACCAAGCACAGTCATCCACATGTAGGACCAAGCACAGTCATCCACGTGTAGGACCAAGCACAGTCATCCACGTGTGGGACCAAGCACAGTCATCCACGTGTGGGATCAAGCACAGTCATCCACATGTAGGACCAAGCACAGTCATCCACGTGTGGGACCAAGCACAGTTATCCACGTGTGGGATCAATCACAGTCATCCACATGTAGGACCAAGCACAGTCATCCACGTGTGGGACCAAGCACAGTCATCCACGTGTGGGATCAAGCACAGTCATCCTCATGTAGGACCAAGCACAGTCATCCACGTGTGGGACCAAGCACAGTCATCCACGTATGGGACCAAGCACAGTCATCCACATGTGGGACCAAACACAGTCATCCACGTGTGGGATCAAGCACAGTCATCTACGTGTGGGACCAAGCAGTCATCTACGTGTGGGACCAAGCACAGTCATCCACGTGTGGGACCAAGCACAGTCATCCACGTGTGGGACCAAGCACAGTCATCCACGTGTGGGATCAAGCACAGTCATCCACGTGTGGGACCAAGCACAGTCATCCACGTGTGGGATCAAGCACAGTCATCCACGTGTGGGACCAAGCACAGTCATCCACGTGTGGAACCAAGCACAGTCATCTACGTGTGGGACCAGGCACAGTCATCCACGTGTGGGACCAAGCACAGTCATCCACGTGTGGGACCAAGCACAGTCATCCACGTGTGGGACCAAGCACAGTCATCCACGTGTGGGACCAAGCACAGTCATCCACGTGTGGGATCAAGCACAGTCATCCACGTGTGGGACCAAGCACAGTCATCCACGTGTGGAACCAAGCACAGTCATCTACGTGTGGGACCAGGCACAGTCATCCACGTGTAGGACCAAGCACAGTCATCCACGTGTGGGACCAAGCACAGTCATCCACGTGTGGGACCAAGCACAGTCATCCACGTGTGGGACCAAGCACAGTCGTCTACGTGTGGGACCAAGCACAGTCATCCACGTGTGGGATCAAGCACAGTCATCCACGTGTGGGACCAAGCACAGTCATCCACATGTAGGACCAAGCACAGTCATCCACGTGTGGGACCAAGCACAGTCATCCACGTGTGGGACCAAGCACAGTCATCCACATGTGGGACCAAGCACAGTCATCCACGTGTGGGACCAAGCACAGTCATCCACGTGTGGGACCAAGCACAGTCATCCACGTGTGGGACCAGGCACAGTCATCCACGTGTGGGACCAAGCACAGTCACCCATATGTGGGACCAGGCAGAGTTATCCACAATCAGATTGTTCACCTGTCTGGTTGTTATAGGTAGAGGGTACTGAGTCAGGAAGATTGTCAGAGTCTGTCGCAGTTGTCTGGATGTTAGGAACCTCGTCATCATTGCATACTAACCTCATATGATCTAAATGCGATTCTTTATAATGACGAGTACTTATTTTTCGAACTTTACGTGTTCGACTACTCGATATGGACCAACAAACTTTTGATCGAGCTTAAGCATTGCGGATGTTTTATTAAAGACAGTCAGCATAACTCTCGTACCTACTTTAATTTTGGTGGGTTTTGCTCGAGTATTAGTGACTTGTAAATTCAGCTGTTGATTTATGAAGTGTTTCTCGGATTCTTCTGAAGACACCTTGAGTTAAGCTGGTACTAGTTGCTATGAAATCATCACAACTGTAATTTGGTTTGGGATTAGAATATAACAACTCATATGGTAAGCGCTTATCTACACCATACAACGCCTAATGTAGTCACCTATAGAAACATTTTAAGCAGAATTTATGGCACACTGAACATCAGGCATAACTTCAACACAGGTTGCACTATTGAGATTAACAGTGGCTCTCAAGACATCGAGTACTTTATTTGTTCTTTCCGCTAGACCATTACTGGCAGGATGGTGAGGAACCCACAATATCTGGTGAAACGGTCTACCACAACACACACGTTTGTTGCCCTGGAGGGAGTATTGGAAATTAATTAACAAATCTAGTGTAACTTTCCCCAAGGTTCGCTGGTAGTGGGATACACTTGGATTGGATTATGACTACAAACATTACCTTTATGCTGTATACAGGCACTACATTTCTCAACATACACAGAAATGTTAGTTGCCATTCAAGGCCAAAAGTATTTCAATCTGGCTTGTTTTACAGAACGATCCATACCAGGGTGCGCAACACCTGGTACATCGTGAACTAGTGACATTCACTAGTGACTGTGGTGTTACTCGATGACTGTTATTATTAAGATTCAAAATATCAAAGCCTAACTCAATATTTCCACACTCATTATTTTCCATTCTCAGACCCATGTATCAGTGGAGAGAGCTGAACGTATCACTGGAGGAAGGTGAACGTATCACTGGAGGAAGGTCAACGTATCACTGGAAGAAGGTGAATATATGACTCGAGGAAGGTGAATATATCACTCGAGGAAGGTGAACGTATCACTGGAGGAAAGTGAACGTATCACTGGAGGAAGGTGAACGTATCACTGGAGGAAGGTGAACGTATCACTGGAGGAAGGTGAACGTATCACTGGAGGAAGGTGAACGTATCACTGGAGGAAGTTGAACGTATCACTGGAGGAAGGTGAACGTATCACTGGAGGAAGCTGAACGTATCACTGGAGGAAGGTGAACGTATCACTGGAAGAAGGTGAATGTATCACTCGAGGAAAGTGAATATATCACTCGAGGAAGGTGAACGCATCACTGGAGGAAGGTGAACGTACTGGAGGAAGGTGAACGTATCACTGGAGGAAGGTGAACGTATCACTGGAGGAAGGTGAACGTATCACTGAAGGAAGGTGAACGTATCACTGGAGGAAGGTGAACGTATCACTGGAGGAAAGTGAACGTATGACTGGAGGAAGGTGAACGTATCACTGGAGGAAGCTGAACGTATCACTGGAGGAAGCTGAACGTATTACTGGAGGAAGCTGAATGTATTACTGGAGGAAGCTGAACGTATCACTGGAGGAGGGTGAACGTATCACTGGAGGAAGGTGAACGTATCACTGGAAGAAGGTGAATATATCACTCGAGGAAGGTGAATATATCACTGGAGGAAACTGAATATATCACTGGAGGAAACTGAATATATCACTGAAGGTAACAATGTATCACTGTAGAAAGCTCTGTGTATCACAGTAGAAACCTGAATGTGTCACTGGAAGAAGTTGACTGTATCAGGGAAAAGGGGCGGATGTATAACAGACTGGTTGGAGGGCAGACCCAGTAGGCGTGTACCAACCACACTGCTCCAAGTAATGAAGAAGTTGCCTAGGAAAGCGGAAGATAAACGGATCACTGTTAAGAGGAAGACCCAAGAGGGTAACGGACCGTAGTGATGGTTCTGGACCGTAAAGATGGTTCTGGATTCTTACCGGTGATTGTTCAGTACAGCAGTGAAATAAATTATCGGTTTCGCTGTATGTGCAACGAGAAATATTCAGCAACGAGATGTCTTTGAGAAGGCTACACCCACCAAGCGAGAAGCACAATCACGTTACGTATGTATGCATATGTGTAGGTATGAAAGTATTACCAGTTAATATCTGCACCACTACGAGGAATACCACAGTCTGGTACACAATAACATACCTATTTGCAGGACGTATTGTGACAGGAAATACTAAACTGGAAGATTTACCACAACATGTGAATCTGAATTATTCTGTTAAGATACACTAATAATGTCCAAGAAAGTGAAATATCCAAAAGTTATTTAAGTATAATTTACTGTCTAAACACACTCAACAAATCAATAGTGCTTTAAGGACTTCAAAACAGTGCTCTTACTTAATTAAATATTACTGTGAATTTACAAGTTAAACATACATGTGGTTTCTGGACAATGTCTGGGGGTGACTTACACACAACTCTCCCATACACATAAAGAGTTGCTAAATAGTATTAAATGAAAAATTCCATTAAACTTACCTAAACTAGGATCAGCCATTTCAAAATCCATTTTCATAATTAATTTTTTGGGCTTTGGTATAATAAAAGTTTGAGATAAATGACTACTCCATTCACATTCTCGTAACAATAAATTTTCCAATATTTCTTCACTCCATCGTTGAGTCATTTCTCGTACCTCAGCTACAAACACTTCTTTTGAGAGAACATGTTCCGCATCAACTCTCTTTTGAATGGGTTCGACTCTCTTAATTGTATATAACATTTCTATAAACACAACACTAGTATGTTTTGTCGCAACCACCTCCATATTTCTTCTTCTGCTCAAGTGATTCCTTACCATTTCACTCCAAATATTTATACCAAAAATTTCAATCATTGTCATCATCGAATATCATTTTTTTTAATAATACAAATACACATTACAGGGGATTTCTTCAAAGCATATATATTATCCATTGTATATTTCAAATAATATGTTTAGTCATTGTTAACTTTCCTTATTTTTCAGTGAAAAGAAATATTCAGACAATATTTTTTTTGGCAACAATTACTACTTGCTTGTGACGTCACTATCCAGCAACACGTTAAAACAGGTTAGATCATCTTCCCCTTATTATTTTAAATGAACTAAAAGCATGACGTCACGATACTCATTGAACAAATTATCTTACCTTTAATTGTCTTCATGCATTTCCAAGTATGCACCATCGGTATAGTAATAACATGTCATAATACCATTGAAGTAAGTTATGATCCCCATCCTGTATGACACTAAACTCGTGGTGGTTCATTCACCTAACGTCATGGTGATGCCACGTAGTGTTTTTCATGGAACAAATTTCTCTACACATATAGTTATAAAAACTACTAACTCGACAACCCTCGTGGTGAAAAGAGTATAAGAAGACACATCCATATTGAGTTACAAGAGTATTTAGATGGAGATGTGGAAGTTACATGTGAAAAATTTGTTACAGAAGCAAGTGTCTACACATCACTGAACTGATAAAGAAATGATTAATTCGATAGAAGACCTTGATCACAACCCTCCAAAACGAAGGAAGGTGACTGAACAATATCTCACCGATAAAGAAATGCCTATAGCAATGGAAGATTTTGAACGTGAGTTTTTAATGAGATATTATTGAGTAAATTCACCCACAATGTAATTTTTTTAGAAATTCTAATGAGAAATATTTTTTTCATTTGTTGAGTAACAAACTTAATTTTTGGGATATAATACTATATTTTATCAAAATTACAGGTAAAGAAGCAACAAAAGATGAAGAAAAATATCTTTCGTTAATGAAAGGTAATATTACAAAAATTTTAGTGGCAGTGATAAAATTCTTTTAGTACAACAAGCAAATTGTTGTGCTGTTAAATTGAAAAAGGGAGGTCTTGCTGATGCTTTAAGTCAGGTTTTACCACTTAGCAATCCATATTTATTTAGATCACCTGGATGTCATAAAGCAAATCTAACTAGTGAAGTCACTCATGATAAATTTGGGAGCATAAAATTTGTAAATAATGGAAAAAATAACCCCATTATTGTCAATATGTTCGCACAGTATGTGATGGGACCTCCACATAAGTATTATATGAACTGTAAAGTTGATAAGGCCTACTATAATACATGCAAATATTTAGATACAAAGAAAGGTCGTGAGATTATATTCAAAGAGTGCATGAATGATCTTGTTAAGTGGTTATTAACAGATCCCAACGGGATTATAATGGAAAAAGTTGTGTTTCCAGAAGGAATTGGATGTGCTTCAGCCGGAGGTGATTGGCATGCATATCTTAAAATCATTCATGATTTTGCAAAGGAATTAAAAAAACGTCGTAGAAATACTGTTATTATTGTAAAATATGACAAAATATCTCTAATACTTTTTTTTTGTTTTATTCACCAGCACTCTAAAACCTTATTAGGCAACTGAATAGAGATCATACGTCTGGCAGGAACGGTGATGAGTATAAACATCTCTGTTCTTTGTTGTTCATACATTAGTACCTCTTCCACCAGGGTGCGACTAACCATCTCAAGAAAATGGAGACAGCCAATAGGATGGAAAAATATTTTAAAATTGAAGAAGGAAAACTGTACGATGAAAAATATTGTCGTGACAACGTCTGCATTATTTTCCATGCGAATTGTGTTGCTATAAAAGGATATGATGCAAGTTATTATTTGGGTAAGAAATATCCTTATGCTGATGTGTTATCGGAGTAGAGAACCCATTATTTTAATCTGAGAAGATGCAGAGTTGAAGATCGTGATACTCCTGGAACTGTTATCCAGTTTGAACCTTCACCGGATCAAAGAAAATTGAATCTTCCTTATTTAGCAGCCATAATAAGCCAATTTGGTATTGCTGGACCATTGGAGGAAAATACCATTTCTCAAAATTTAATTGAAAAATCAAGAGATTCCCATTTGGTGTATGGTTTAAAGAAAGATATTATCGCAGACAGAATAAGATATTTCAAGGAATCCATTGAGAGAGTCATAAAAAGTGTGAAAGATAATAAAAATATACGAGAGGTTATCTTTCTGAAAGGTATTGGGAGGTATGAAACTTCAAATGATTATATCTGGAATACACATTATAAACTTATACTCGAAGATATGATAATGAAATGTAAGGAAGAAGGTATTCGATCAACAGTGGTTGTCAAAGAAGAAATGAAAAACATTAACCAAGGTCAAGAATTAGAAGATGATTCGAAGTTATTGTCTTCTAGAATTGAAGGAAGTGCTTGGTATCCCTCATGAGGTAAGCAGAATTATTTACCTTGTATCAGTGGTTTAATTCATTTAAATTATTATGAGGAAGTAATTATAACTTGAAGAGAGAGAGAGATATATATTTGAATATATATAAGTCATATTTATCTCTTCATGAAATGTGTCACTTACCATTTCGACCTTCTCTCTCTACCTGAACACCAAGAATTATGTCTACCATAATACTTACATCATTTAAGTTAATAAGACGCTTTTAATTCATTAAAGTTAATAAGGGGACACAGTACGATTATGCTTTTAAGTCAAGAATGGGAAGATATTTAAGTTAACGAGAAGTATATGTTTGGGATAGTGAAAAAATATGTAACTTTTAGTTGGTTTATATCTTTTACAGGTGATGGTGCAAATTTCTCCCCATTATATGCTAATGAATTAAAAAAATATATTAAAATTTACAGGTACCGATGTGACGGGACTTGGAAGAACAAGACTTAGAGAGGAGGATTTATGATGTTTAGAGCGTGTTGTTACACCAAGATTAATAATATATGATGTTTCATTCATTAAAAAGAGAAATGTTTAATAAAAATTTTTAAGACATGATGAAGTTTTAAATCAATCAAACCTTACCATGAAAAAAAGTATTGAGGTAGAATACAAATGTTATATCTCATTTAAGTTAATTTCATGGTGTCTGTCAGCCCTGTGACCTCACCAAATTTTAGAACAAGAGGACACAGTTGGTCTGGAAAGAGATGATTATCTTAAATCTACCTTGGGTGTGAACACCATTTCATGGCCTCGCTGGAGGGGATTGTACAAAAATCATGATGCAATACTTTTGGGTAAGGCATATAAGCTCAAGGAGTCTCTCAGAGCGAGGAATGTGTTTCTATTCGGAAATCGAGTAAATATTTCTACCATTGCGTGTGCTTACCAACAAGAAAATAATGTTCGATTTTACGATAAAGTTTCCAAAGCTAATTTGGAAATATCCAAAAATGGAGTCGTTCAAAGTAATTCTGGAGTACTCTAATGTATTTTGGAAGTGTTCCAATATATTTATGAATGTGCTCCAACGTAATTTGGAAAAGTTCTAAATGTTATCCCAATCAATTTTGTCCATATTACCGAAATTGAGGGAATGTGGCTAAAAATGTGATTTATATCATATCTTAGTTGGATGTGTTCGTGATATATTTATAAAAAAATGAGTGTTTACTAAAAATTTGTGACATGTGAATATTACCGAGTCAAAAATGCGGGTGACTTTTTTTTTCTGATGAAATAGATGAACTGAGAAAAATTGTGGGGTTATGAGTATAATATTAAACTATGTGGAGTTGAGGAGATAGATTTTATTAGAAATTTAGTGTAGGGAGGAAATGTGGGGATTTCTATAAAATGGATATTAGCTGGTAGTGTTGATCTTAGTTTGGGTAGTATTCAGTGGTGTTTTGGGGGTGTTCGAATGATATTTTTGGAGTATTCAATGGTAATTGATGGTGTTTTTGGTAGTGTCCAAAGTAAAGTGAGTTGTCTGTGTGTGTGGCTGGACAGCAGGGAAAGAAGTTGACGATCAAGAAGATGAATGGAAAGGTAGAAACGATGAAGAAGAAAGAGACTGCCGTGGAAACTGTTGTGGAAACATCCAATACATTCTCAGTGCTACCCGACGAATGTGAGTCGACTACTGGGAACGAGACGACGAAAGACATTAAGGAAGGTAAGAATATTGTTGTTGTTGGGGATAGCCAAGTTAGGTATATGGATAGGGCGTTCTGCTTGAAGGACAGGAGTAGGAGACAGAGAGTTTGCTTTCCTGGGGCTGGGATGGAGGATATTGTTAGCCGTCTGGATGACATCATGAAAGGTAATGGGAGCAATCCTATTATCTGTCTCAGTGCTGGAGGCAACGATGTTGGCAGACGTAGGAGTGAGGACCTGATTAGCAGGTATAGGTCAGCAATAGAAATAATTAGAAGTAAGGGTGGGAACCCTCTCATATGTGGTATTTTGCCAAGGAGGGGAGTTGGAAATGAATGGTTGTCCAGGGCAATTGGTGTCAATTGCTGGCTGGACAAATACTGTAAGGAAAATGCAGTAACATTCATTGACAACTGGGACCTCTTCTATGGCAGAAATGACATGTTTGCTAGGGATGGGGTTCACTTGTCTAGGTGTGGGGTGGGAGCACTGGCAACTGCAGTGGAGGGAGCAGTTAGGACTTTAAACTAGGAATAGTTAGTGGTATGGGTTTTGGCAGGAAAGCAGTGAAGTCCCAGTGTAGTAATATTACGAGTTCTAGGGGAACTAGTAATAATAAGAACGAGATAGATATTGAAAAGCCAGGGACCTTGGGTGATAAGGACAGTAATAGGTTTAGTAGAAAAATAGAAATGAGCAGGAAGGGTTAAAGAGAAAGGAGAGTCTTTCAATGTTTATTATGCTAATTGCCGTAGTGCTAGGAATAAGATGGACGAGTTGAGATTAGTTGCTAGTGTAGGTAACATTGATGTATTTGCCTTAACTGAGACGTGGTTTAATTCAAAAAGTCGGGACATGCCTGCGGAATGTCATATTCAGGGTTTTAAATTGTTCCAAGAAGATAGAAGTATTGGGAGGGGGGGTGGGGTGGCATTGTATGTCCGAGATCGCTTGAACTGTTGCATAAAAACGGGTATTAAGTCTGAAGTAACACATACAGAGTCTGTTTGGATAGAATTTTCAGAGGGGCATGAAAAAACTGATTTTAGGAGTGATATACCGTCCCCCAAACTTAGATAGGGACCAAGGGAAACTACTATGGGAGGAAAATTGTTAAGGCCACAAGGCACGATAATGTAGTAATTCTAGGAGACTTTAACTTTAGTCATGTTGATTGGAATTTCTTGACTGGGAATTTAGAATCATACGACTTCTTAGAAGTATTTCAGGATTGTTTTTTGAAGCAGTTTGTGACAGAACCTACAAGGGGAAATAACCTGCTTGACTTAGTTTTGGCAAACAATGAATCCCTTGTTAATAATTTAGAAATTTCAGAGGAACTGGGTGCTAGCGACCACAAATCAATTACATTTAGCATTGAATGGAAGTACGTTAGTAGCGATAACTCAGTAACAGTCCCAGATTTTCGCTTAGCAGATTACGATGGGCTTAGAGAACACTTATCATCTGTTGACTGGGGTAACGAAGAGAGCTATCAATATGACAGTTTTCTGAACACTATACATGCTGCTCAAAGAGCGTTTATCCATATAAAGAATTAGATCAAATAGAAATGACCCAAAATGGATGAATAATAGGCTCAAATATCTACTAGGGCAAAAGAAAGGAATTTATAGGCGTATCAAAAGAGGTGAGGGTCTCTTATGAATCAGTATATTGACATTAAGAGGGACATTAAAAAGGGGATAAGAAAAGCTAAAAGGGACTATGAAATTAAAGTTGCTAGGGATTCTAAAACTAACCCAAAAAGTTTTTTCCAGGTCTATAGAACAAAAGTTAGAGATAAGATAGGTCCCCTTAAAAATAACTATGGGCACCTTACTGACAAAGAGAATGAATGTGCTTGATTTTAAATAATTATTTTCTCTCAGTTTTTACACAGGAAGACACTAACAATATTCCAGTAATTAATTTTTACAGTGGGCTAGAAGAAGATAAATTATGTAACATCACAGTCACTAGTGAGATGGTTGTGAGGCAGATAGACAGACTGAAGCAAAATAAGTCGCCAGGTCCTGATGAGGTTTTTTCAAGGGTTCTTAAGGAATGCAAAATGGAACTCTGTGAACCATTAACTAATATTTTTAATTTATCTCTTCAAACAGGTTGTAGTGTCTGATATGTGGAAGATGGCTAATGTAACTCCTATTTTTAAAACAGGGGACAAGTCGTTACCGTCAAATTACCGCCCAATAAGCCTGACCTCAATTGTAGGCAAATTACTAGAGTCAATTATAGCTGAGATTATAAGAAGCCATCTCGATAAGCATAGCTTGATTAATGATACTCAGCATGGATTCACAAGAGGCCGGTCTTGTCTAACTAATTTATTAACTTTCTTCAGTAAAGCTTTTGAGGCTGTTGACCACAATAAAGAATTTGATATTATTTACTTAGATTTTAGTAAGGCTTTTGATAGAGTTCCGCACCATAGACTGTTAAAGAAAGTGGCAGCTCATGGCATTGGGGGAAAAGTGCTCTCGTGGATCGAGTCATGGCTCACTGACAGGAAGCAGAGAGTGTCCATAAATGGGTTAAATCCGAGTGGGGATCTGTAACAAGTGGCGTTCCACAGGGATCAGTCTTGGGCCCGTTGTTGTTTATAATATATATCAATGATCTTGATGAGGGAATTACTAGTGATATGAGCAAATTCGCCGATGACACAAAGATAGGTAGGATAATTGATTCAAACGTAGATGTTAGGGAACTTCAGGAGGATTTAAACAAACTCTATTCTTGGTCAGAAAAGTGGCAGATGCAGTTCAATGTAGATAAATGCAAGGTTCTGAGGCTTGGGAGTGCCCATAACACTAGTACTTATAAATTAAATGATGTAGAACTTAGCCATACAGATTGCGAAAGGGACTTGGGGGTTGTGGTGAGCAGCAACCTTAAACCAAGACAGCAATGCCTGAGCGTACGTAATAGGGCAAATAGATTGCTGGGATTTATATCAAGAAGTGTAAGCAACAGAAGTCCAGAGGTCATACTGCAGCTTTATACATCATTAGTAAGGCCTCACCTAGATTATGCAGCTCAGTTCTGGTCTCCGTATTACAAAATGGACATAAATTCGTTAGAAAACATTCAGCGTAGGATGACTAAATTAATACATAGCATCAGAAATCTTCCTTATGAAGAAAGATTGAAGACTCTTAAGTTACATTCACTTGTTAGACGAAGAATGAGGGGAGACCTGATCGAAGTGTATAAGTGGAAGATAGGTATAAATAAAGGGGATATTAATAAGGTCTTGAGGATGTCTCTCCAAGAGAGAACGCGCAGTAATGGATTTAAATTAGGTAAGTTTAGATTTAGAAAGGACATAGGAAAGTATTGGTTTGGAAATAGGGTAGTTGATGAGTGGAACAGTCTACCTAGTTGGGTTATTGAGGCTGGGACTTTGGGTAGTTTCAAATCTAGGTTGGATAAGTACATGAGTGGGAGGGGTTGGATTTGAGTGGGACTTTCACATCAGAGCTTATTTCTTGGGTGGCATTGAAAATTGGGTTGGGCAAATGTTTTGTTAGTGGGATGAATTGTAAAGGACCTGCCTAGTATGGGCCAGCAGGCCTCCTGCAGTGTTCCTCCTTTTCTTATGTTCTTATGTTCTTATGTTATAGAATTTTGTGAATATCTTGGTTACAGTGATTTTAGTGGATTTGAGATGGGTGATGAGATGCATTTGTGGATGTGAAATGTGATTTTTGTGTTTGTTCTGAAGAGGTGTGATGGGAAACGGGTGAGTGGATGTGAAGAAATGTGAGTGAGATGGAGAGGGGTATGGGGAGGGTTGTATTAGAAATTTAATGAAATATGGGGGGATTTTACTGAAAATAAAGGTAATGTGTGAATATTTTAAAAGAATTTATAGAACTGAAAAGTTATGATATATTGGAAAAGAATGGAGGGTGTAGAAACATGTCTCAGTAGTTGGGTAGTGAGATTAGTTG